TACCATTCTTTGACGTTCTGTCCATTCTGCGTTTTATGGGCGATTATTTGTACGATTTTAGTTCAAGTTCGTCGCACTGTCCTCTTTTTTGGAAACACTGCTGTTTTCGAGAAAGTAACTTTCAGTAAAAAGCCTTCTGATGATTTACCCTTAGACGTTAACATTTGTTCTGATTTGAGCAGTCATTTGGGCGATCTTGCCATAAGGCAGGCTGCGTCTCGGTATCAGGTCTTGTAATATCATTAGACCTTACCATCCTTAGAATAGTATTTTGCTAAATGTTTTGTTTGACTTGTCTGATTTCTTTCACCAGAAATTATTGAACTGTCGTGCTCAAAGATTTTTCGTAGCAGTTCTTGTCCTATTGAGCTCAGTAATTTCTATTAGACCGGAGCAGATATTCGCGCCTGTTTCACTGTGTTGGAGCAGGGCCCCGCACTTTCCATGTATCGTAGGCCCGAGAATGGTCTTTGGTACCCGCAGACCAGATGGACTTCTAAGTAGGATTTTCTACAAGCTCATGACTGTGATCCGAACCCAGTAGAACATATGGCAACATGTGTTTGAAATGAGGGAAGCTTGTAATGCCTGGTTTGGTCTAGAATTCAAAGGCGAGTTCTTCTCCAAAAGCAGAGCTGGTTTTGACACCTAGTGTATGGGCTCCGATTTTTTCAATACATTGCAGTGGACAATAGATCGCACCCTATGAAGAACTCAGTTTTTGAGAGCTGGTTTTTTTTATTGTTTCTGCTTTTGATATATTACCAGCGGAGATAGAGGAACAACATTGAAGCGGTAATCAAACGTACAGTGTTTTTACAACTTTAGAGGGAGATATCGATTTTTTTTCGGCGATGCACCATAGATCGGACGACTCGAAGTCTTTGATTTCCCCGGCTTTTTCCTCGGAATTTCCGCAATACGCACATACTCACGTGTCACGGGGAAGCATACTCAACTCATCATTCCTAACAGTACAGTTGCAACTGGCATCGAGAAGCAATACGAAAACCTTAAGAAGGAGGAGCTGGGATTGAAGTCAACAGTTTCTTAACGCACCTGCGCTGGCTGATCAATTCGGCATCATACTCTACAAAAACTGTCAGAGACTTAGCTGTAACCTGTGGGATTTCGGTCTCAAAATGGACTGTTGCTCGCATCCTGAAGTCGCCGGACCACATAGTTTCTCGGAAGATGCAGTCGTCTCCACGGCTCACTCAGAGTCATCGAGAGAAACGGCTCCTTTTTTGCGAGAAATGAAATGAACAGAGATTGGACAACGGTGCGTATCCAACACATTTTCAGCTCTATGTGATATTCAGACTTTTCATCGTTGTTTCCTAAAGTAGTTTTTATGAGAAGATCCTCAGTGAAATGGGTGGATGGAAATCAGTTCGCCACTCGTAAACGGAGAGCCAGGACTACCAGCCACTCATAAGCAACACCTTGGTCCCTAGTCATTCAGAATACCATGCTTTTGCCTCAATGCGAGGGAAAGCTTCAAGCCACGCTTCGCAGAGTACTCTATCCTACTTGCAGTTTAAAAACACTTCGTTATTTTCATGAACGTCATGCAGTTCGGACTCAAACTCTGTCGAGGATATCTGCGGTACATTAGAGCTACGCATATGGAAAGTTTATAACTATGTTATGTCGCTGAGAAATGTCATAACAAATAAAAGAATTTTTCATCGTCTATGCTCCTGAAAAAGCAGAAATTCGTTAGGAATGGTTGATCTCTGTAGCCTTGGGGCGATGGCCGGGTTTTTTGAGTAGACAACGTACCTGCATATTCAAAGGTAATGGTGAAGATGACATCAAACAACGTGAATTTTGCTCAAGAATGAAGTTTATCATCAGTACCGGCCTAAGAGGTTATAGATTCCACAACCCTTCAGCATCGCCCACCTCGTAGTGGGCTGGTGGTCAGGAGAGTATCGGGCTAGGCTCGCGTTTGCACCATAAGGTGAATTCTATGGTACAAGTCTGCTTCACAGCAGATTTCTTCCTTTTTGACAGTCACCTCCGAATCGGCACCAAATGGCTTCAGCTTGAAAAAAATGTTACATTCAAAGTCGGGATCATCAGCAACTCCTGCAAATGGATTTTCCATCAAAGCTGGAAGAAGAGATCTCCAGCGCTAAGCTAGCGCCACATGGCTCCGACGTCGGAAACGAACGCCATGTCCGTGATCAGCACCGTGTTCTAGTTCTATAGGCGAAATTTCAGCGAAAGTCGAGAGTTTGACTAATTTCGGAAAAGGAGTGACCGTGGGCTACAGTCGTCATGCAAGCCGGCGGCGACTTGAAGACGAGCGCGGCACGGAAATCAAGCGAAATGCTCTGTTGATCCAAGGGTACCAAAGTTCTGTTTAATAGGTTATAGGGAAAATTACCGCCACGTCCTTGGAATCGCTCCAACTATCGAAAGAAAGCCTTGCAACTGGAAGAGCTGATTACCCGTCGTAACAAGTTTTGATAGAGAGAAGAATCTGTTCTCAACATCATGCTGGTCCTACATCCACTTCCAGCTTAGGCGTTGGCCGTTGTCCATTCTGAAATAGCCTCATTGTCCCTTTGATGACAATATCCACCGCTGGGTGCCAATATCACCCGCGTGAATGGCAACCAATGGTGGGTGCCACCATTGGTTGACATCTTATTTTTGCATTTAAGTTCCTAGTAATTATAAGCAAGCTTTGTTATGTCTATTTTTAGCACGGTTGACGGAAATGTTTGATAACAGTTAATTTATGTGAAATTTTTGGAAGTGGCACTTAGCTCAGCAGTGTATTAGAGCAACTTCACAGCAGGGTACCTTCGATACTGATGGAGTGAATATGCTAGCCCTAGTCAAGAGCACATGAAGAGACACTGAACAAAAAACTCACCTTTGAAAATAGATATAAGGTAGTCTCGAAGTAGACGGGACTTACTGCTTTTGGAAGCGACACCCACTTGCCAGTCGTGGAGAGCGCGTGATTGGCTGCGAGGCATTTGGGGGTGGTTTTGGGACCACAGGGACTCTTTGAGATCGGTCCTTTAAAGCAATCAATGTGGTGCTGCAGATTTTTTTGACTTTTTTGCAGACAGACGCATTTTTCCTGAACGGTGAAGGCTATTTCGAGGAGAAGCAATTACAGGCAAATAGCCAGATATTGCAAGATATTTGGCAGCAATTGCAATTGGGGGCATTTGCTGCAGGCAAGTTCAACAACCCGTCCGAGGCCCCTCTCCCCTTCATTTGAGGCAGAAGGGGGTCTCTATTTGAAACTTCTTCGGCGTTTTTTGCTCGCGAATTCAATCTGGAATGGTTGCTTTACCTGGTGCTTTGCTTTATTGAGCTGAAGCCTAATAACTGATCGTCTCCTTTTCGACTTTTCATAGTCTTCAGACATAAGGAGGGACTTGAACTGTAACGAAAATTCTTCTGTACATAGAAACTCCGAGAGTTTTACACATCCCTTTGAAATCCTAGTCTCTTTCCGAACTTCGACTCCCTTCCCAACAACCTAATGTGAAAGCTTAATTCTGCAGTTGAATTTCCCACATTGCTGAAGTCAAAATAGGAAAACTGTTCCTAGAAAAATTTTTGAACAAACAACGAGCGAGCGAAAAAGAGACGTGCACTCCTGATGCATGCCCGCTATATGCAAAACTGCATTGTCGTAAAAGGTTATTCGAGGAGTATTACGAAGATACTCATTTTCTGTTCGCCGGCTAAGAGCACCCTATAGGCTGACTTATCGATAGCCAGTTTTTCGGGTATGGATCGAAATCTCAATTTTTTCAGGACTTCACAAGGGAAATCTAGTGTCCTGGTCACGAGTATGACAACTACCCCAGTCGAGATTTACGATCAAGTGTGGGTGCAAGCACTGGAAGTGAGGAAGTAATCCTAGGAGAAAAGCGCCGTATCAGAGCCAAAGCGCGATTTGAACCTTGATATCGTGCACCAGACGCGTACTTACTAGCAGCATCAAGGTTCTGACTTCAGATCACGAACTTATTCCACTTCGAGAACATCAAAATACTTAACACTGCTTCCATGAGATGGCCTTAATCAGCTCAAGCTGTGAGCTTCGATGGTAATGGTGGTGGTCGGTTTAACACACGTGCAAACGACCTCTTAACCAGTTATTCATTGCCCGTCCATTAGGGGTCTCGCAAGGAAGGTCCCACTTGCGTTGTTCTTCACGATTTGTTTGCCTTGTACCGCTGGATACGTTAATAGAAACTCCCTCTTCCACCATAACCCAACGCAACCTATAGTGAACCCCATAGCTTCCGGCACTACTGCGTCAATTATAGCGCAACTCTGCGTTACAAATTCACCCCGTCAAGACACCGTAGAAATCTACATCTGCAATAGACTACTGAATGACTGATAATGAAAATAATAGCCAACGATTAGCACTGGCGCTACTTGGAGCAAATTTGGCGTGATTCAAGGCCAGCTGAAATCCAAAAATTTTGCCATCGCGGGGATCGAGCCCCTCAGTAACCCCGTATTTGTGCCGCTCAGGTAGATGGGGCATTCTCTTATCACTTTCGCGTGTAATTCTCTTGATTTGCTGATGCTGACTGATTAGAGGCTAGACTTTGGAGGAATCAGTCAGACTTATCCTAACCATTTTTACTTAATTACACCAGGAAAAAAGGGTTCTTATTGATTGCTGCATGTGAACATGGTGTGAATTTATGGATGGCCTAAAGGGCAAGTATGATGTAAGCCATGCTTGACAAATAGTCCTGAACACTTCAAAGAGTGGCTTATCCGTTGTAAAAACCGTCTTTAGTGAAAATTACACCAATGTTTACACTTCCTCGTTCGAATTTCGCAGCATTACAACGCGAACCGTTGCGCAATGCTACCTGAATGCAGGGTGTGGGGCCGAATAAAGGACAAGCTTAAACTAAGCGCGAAGAGACACTTGAAAGGTCAAACGGGAACAAGCTGCGGGTATATAAAGAATATCGAAGTGACATGAGCGCATCGAAATGGACTTCGAGCATCGCATCAAAGCCTATCGTTTCGTCGCCTACTCCACAGTCGCCTTCTCAGTGGTGGCTGTCCTGTCAGTCTGTGTCACACTGCCAATCCTTCACAGCTACGTCCACCATGTAAGAAGAACCATGCACAATGAGCTAAATACGTGTGCGGAATCAGCCAAGGACATTTGGAGCGAAGTAAGACATCTCAGGAACATCAAAGCCTCGAACAGGACTACTCGTCAGGTCTTATACGGTGATGCTGGAATCGTTCAAGTACCTCCGAGTGTAAAAACTCATGAAGGATACGTTGAAACTAATGGCAACATTAATGCCAATAATCACGGCAATAACCAAGGCGGTAGTCGATGCGAAGCTTGCTGCCTCCCAGGAGCCGCTGGACCCGCTGGAACTCCCGGTCAGCCCGGTCGCCCAGGAAAACCCGGAGCACCTGGTCTGCCAGGAAACCCAGGACGCCCACCACAGCAGCCATGTGACCCTGTCACTCCTCCTCCATGCAAACCATGCCCACAAGGACCCTCGTGGTCCACCAGGACCTAAGGGACCACCTGGAGACGCTGGACGCAATGGACAACCTGGAGCTCCAGGAAATGCCGCTCAGCCTGGACCTCCTGGACCCAAGGGACGTCCTGGACCCAATGGAAATCCTGGACACCCTGGTGCTCCAGGACAGGCTGGAATTCCTGCTGTTTCAACGCCCCTCATTCCTGGTCCACCTGGACCACCTGGATATCCTGGTCCTCAGGGACCTCCAGGACCCAATGGACAGCCTGGTCAACCCGGTCGTAGTGGTATGTTTACATTGAAGCGCTCTTTCCAGTTGTTTTTACCATTTACTTTTACTGAGTTGCTAATATTTCAGGACAACCAGGACCCAAAGGAAACAGAGGAGCTGACGGGCAACCTGGGGCCGACGGATACCCGGGTAATCCTGGACAACCCGGTCCACCTGGTGCTGCTGGAGAGCACGGTATCTGCCCCAAGTACTGCGCCCTTGACGGCGGAATTTTCTTTGCAGATGGAACTCACCGGTAACGAAGAAGACCATGACATTTACACGATTAATCTTCATGCAATAAACATTACTTTACTGAATTGTTCCGATGGAAATGATGGTGAAGATGGTGATGGGGAATTTTCTTGATACACATATTCGGTGGACCATACTTGAAACGGCTCCGTCAACATCAGGAAGCAACAATAGGTGAACTTAAAGGCAAGCCTGGAATAAAATAGGTATACAGGAGCGCTTCTTAGTGATGACTGAGCTGCTGAATGAACAGAAAGGGGAAGCGAAAGCAAGTGAAATCATCGGAAACGCTAAAGGCCTTAACCTTCAGTGAGGTCAGGCGTAGTACGACGGCGATAATTGAGAAACTAAATTGGTGACTTCATACCCTATACGACCCTGACCATTTCCATCTCACTGATATTTTTTCTGGACATTATATCACTTTATGAAGTGTAAAGTATATACCCACATACTATATACTACAAGGAAGTGAAGTCTGACGGGTGAACGCCGATTCAAGTACAGTTCTCGAGCTTGAGTGGCGATATTAGGTTCTGATAATAAGAGTGAGGAATTATTATGCTATAGTGCTTTGAAGGAAAATATGGAAATAGATGCTATAACCTTATCCTTAACAAAAATTTGAGTTGATAGCAAATCATATGTGTGGCGTATTCAAAAATGAAATTTATCCGAAACCTCGCTTTTTTTCTACTGAACCTTTGAGTGAGTAGATTTCTGCCCTAATTCACTTACCATACTTGGCGCAGATAGGCAAGCAATCATGCCTTTTCCCAAAACTGCTCATTCAGACTGAATAAGCGAGTTACATCTCATCGAGCCTCACTCCTCCTACATCCGAAGGCACAATTCAGATTACAGAGGTTCCATATTTTCGCTCAAGACCATGAGTATAAGAGCTATATCGCAAGAAATACTTGGTGTGAAGGCGTTCTCGGATGAGCATCAAGGCATGACCCCGGAGGTAGGAAGGATACGAATATGTGAGGGGAAATGATGAGAGATCATTGCAACCACTATGTCGCAAAATGGCGCGATTAGCAGGACGGATCTCGTTGCAAGCATTGACTCTTCCTTCCTTCCCTACACACGTAATGATGTATAGGTTTGAGGGCTATCTCGGGACGGGATGTGTTAATTTGGTGTTTTGTCTTCTTCTGATGGGCATTCGTAACAGAAATATTCAATCTAAGACATTCGAGGAGGGGTTGAATTTCAGCGTTCAACCTGATGAGGACTTCAATTCCTTGTAGTATAGTATGACAGTGATCTATTAACTATATTTGCCGAACTTTGGCAAGCTGATGAAGTAAGATGGACCTCTATTTAACTTATTTCGACGTAACACTTCAACTGATTCGTCTTTCCGGAGGCCGATTCAGCCACTATTCGAGCGGGATAGCTCGCTCTCACGCAAGTGGGTTAGTTAGTGTGAGCGCCGTACTCATATATTTTAGTGTGAGCGCCGCTTTCATGGATTCAGAATTTACATGGAATTTCCATTCATTTCTAGCATTGCGAAGGTAAAAATGGAATAGCTTCCAAATTTGGCCACGGCAGTGCGGGAGGATGGTTGGAAAAGTCTACCTTCCTCCCGAACCTTCGACTCCACTCAAAAGGCCAAGAAAACGTGATAAATGTTCTACCTTGTTCTGCCCCTATCATGGCGGCAGATAGAAATTAGAGAATTTCGTCACAACCACTGGGCTTCACCATCTCCCCAGACTTTAAGGTTTCCTTGAAACTGAGTCGAAACGGAAGCAGCCTAACTATTAGTTAAGGGAAAAGTAAGTCGTAGGATAAACTTGTGTTGAAATTTTTCGGATTGGTCCGTTTTGCCCTTTAATTAGGTCAATCATAGTATTTCTTCAACCCCTGAGGAGATCGATGACTAAGAATTCAGGAAATGTCAGGCTATAGGCTGGGGCCTCTGCGAGTAGTTGAACTGGATTCTCGCCTAATGTCAAATGTGGTAGCATTGTACATTGCCAGGTGGTCCCGGTACGAAAAAGCTCCCTACCGAGTGTTTGAAGAACTCCTTTAACATTTTGAAGAATGTTTGTCGGTGTGTGGGCGCGCTATCATGAAGTAAAGCAGCCTTGTGAATTTGAGCCTGTTTCGTACAAAAATACTGAACTGTTATGTTGAGTCTTCTCGCTTCTCCGCCTTTCGTTCCTTTCTTATGAGTAGCCATTCGTCAAACTTTGAAGGACGTCTGGTGTCGGGGTGTCGCCCAGGCCCAAGCTCGTTTCCCCAACTTTGCAGTTTTTTCTGTATGGCAGCTTAGGCGGCTATGGCATCTTCGTTTTACACAAAGCTAAGCTGCTTGAAGTCACTACGTGGGTTTCAAAAAGATTCATTGAATCTCCTGAATATCCCATTCCACAGGTCTTCTTCGGACTACAGTTGAAGTATCAAGGTAGCGATAGTAATATTGTACATGAGACGCACCCTTCCCCCCTCCCACTGTAGTGTAAAATATTTCTCAGGCTTAAAGGTACACCTACGATGAGTATAGGTAAATCAACCCCCTTGGTAGGTCGAATTGAGCCTTTCAGTAATCATAACGTCCCGTTCTTCCGGCTAGGAAGTGCGCTAACACAGCTTCAATTTTTTTCTCATTCGCAACATGCAGTTGCCTACGCCATCTG